GGAATTACGACGGTGAGGTGAGGGTGGGGGTGTACGTTATAGGATCGGAAGGAAGGAGATATTGTAAGATACATTATGAAGGAAGAGATATTAGGATGAAATAAAACCAGAACTCTGGTATGCAATACATATGGAATTATGCTACACGTTGGCGTTTGAAGCCCCCGGAGCCTTTCATTTTGCTGCGCTCCATTTCCTCCCGCATTATCCGCTCGGCTTCGCTCATGGGGCGTTTTGGTGCCTCAGAGGTCTTTTTGTCTTTTTCCTTACTCTTGTCTTTCTTGCCCATGGAAGCAAAGACGTTTTTGCCTTTTTTGGGTTCAATCTTCATGGACACTTTTGCTGGGGCGGCCGGCTGTGGTGCAGCTGGGGGCTTCTCTCCCTCGCCCTCTTTCTTTTCCTCCGCCCCAGGAGACTCTGACTTCTTTTCGTCCTTGTTGACAACCAATGCCAGCTTGACCTTTTCCCCGTTCTCATCCCGCTTCAACTCTTTTGGCCCCTCCTCTTTAATCTTCCCCGCTTCCTCGGCTTCCCGCTGTGCGCGCTCGACCTGCTCCTGGATCAACCGTTGCTCCCGCATCTCATCGCCCCTATCCATCCTCTCCTTTTTCCTGATCGCCTCCTGTCTCCGCAACGCCTCCGGGCTATTATCAATCCAACCAATCAACCACCCCCTCTCCCCCTCCTCGACTCTACAAATCCCCTCTCTCCCCAAAAACTTCACAAACTCACTTAAACTCATCCACCTGGTCGCATTCATATGGACATGTTGTTTATTCGCAATATACTCCTGGTAGAACCGATTCGCATCAATTTTCTTCTCTCCATGGCTCGACCGTAGCAGTGTGAGGAAATCCCGCTGAAACTGTCCCGAGTAGTCGTCAATGTGCTTTTTGGCGTTCTCCCCGACGAGAAGCATTTGGCGGACGTGCCCCTCGGATTGTGTGTGGCATTTGAAGCCGTTTTCGTCCCGCATTTGGCGCTCGCATACTTGGCAGTAGTAGCGGAGCCGTTGGAGGCCTTTGGCTTTCATTTTGTTGGCGAGGTGTTTGGTCGTTCCGACTTCGGCGCGAGGCATGGTGGGCGGTGGGGGGGAGGAGACTGGCGGGAGGGTTTTTGATGAGGAGAGGAGATAGGTGAGGAGTGAGTTGTTTGGATTGTGAGGACACGGCGGGGAAATCGAGGTTGCTGTCAGGAGACGGTTGCTGTTTGATCAGCTCGGTGAAGCAGCTCCTTCGCCACATTATCACGTGATGTGATTACATACTGTCGCAGCCCTACACGTGATCACGCGGCTTTGTGCCCTAACAGTCAGCCTCCCTCACCGCCTTTTATACCGCCCCGCTCTCCTCCACTCCTCACCTTTCTTCTCTCGGGGCTCGTCTCCCGCCAACGCCACGTTTCTCTGCCCACACCGACAACTCTCGCAGCCTCCGGGCTACGATCTGTTGCTCTCTTCCATGCAGATGAGAAATTCGGAGTAATCCTCTAGCACCGCTCCGGGAGATACACTCTGTGTGTCCCCCGGCCGCCCGTGAGGGCCCGGCGTGAATTCACGTCCGCACAAGGCATCAGAAAATCAAGGACCCGTAGCCTGCTCTCTCTCTCGGGGGACAGGCTCGCGGTGTTCCTGTGGGAGTCTTTGCGAGGATTGTGGATGAGGCCACTTTAGTGCAATACGTGGCGTAGCTGATTCTCTCTTTGGAGGTCAGCTATAATTCGATTCCGATTACTCTGGCGGGAGACGGCCCTACCCTTTTTTTTTTTACGGTCAGTTCCCCTGGGATTGTGGGTGGATGTTGCTAATTGATGGGGTGTAGGAAGGAGGATGGAGATGAGATGGGATGGATGGAGGTGATGGTGATGCTTGGAGGATTGTCCAACTATACATGGATTGTGGTGGAGAGATAGCAATAATATCAGTTCATCAATGATCATTGTAAGGGAGATGTAAGAAATGCCCAACACCGAATAAATGGTGACATGGGATGGCCGATGGCCAATGGAGACGCCGTTGATCATGCTGGCACCCTTCTGTCGCAACCTCCTGCGCCTGCGTTCATGCGTTGAGCAGTCATCCACACCGAATACAGTGGATGTTGAGGCGCAGTCTCCATTGAATACTTTTATATACACCAGACTCTTACCGTATTCTTTGGCCCAGAACTCACCCTGTTAATGGTCCGAGCGGGTGCCCTGTGCATCCATCACTCGCCGCTCGGAGCTATCTACCTTCCCTGCTCCAAGCTCCGCGACAGCTTGACCTCACCATTCCTCACCACCGACACCCACCACCGCCGCTGCCATGTCCTCCGGCACACCTACTCCGCCATCACGGCCCTCCCCCATCCCACCCCGAGCCTCCCGCCGCGTCCTCGGCTCCCTCAACAACCCTCCGCCGGCCGCCCTTTCTCGCTCCCCACGCAACAATACCCCTCCACATCGCCACCCCTCTCCCTCCGCCTCGGAAGTCTCGCTCCCAGCATCCGACCTCTCCCTCGCCGCCACAACCAACACCTCCGCCACCCCCCTAACCTGCCCAATATGTGCCGAGGAAATGATGACGCTCTTGCAGCTGAACCGCCATCTCGATGTGCAGCACACAGAGGTCGAGGAAATGGAGAAGGATGATATCACGACCTGGATCAAGAAGCGCATGCTCAAGGCGAAGCAGTTCCAGCCGCTGGTAGTCGTGGAGAGAAAGTTGAAGGGCCTGGACGTGTTTGAGAGCAACGATGCCATTGCTCGAGACGGTGAGTTTGGGCCGGCTGCGAATACTACACGGATGTTGAATGGGAATGGGAATGGGGGCGGGGATTATGGTGAGAAGAGGGATTCCGATTATTATGTCACCCGCCAACATTGGCAACCCCAACGGAGCGACGATAGATGTGCGGATCCTTTGTGCAGCAGGCCGCTGGGTGCGCTGAATGGGTGTGTGAATTGTAGGAAATGCGGGAGGCTGTTTTGTGAGGAACATACCATGTATCAAATCAAGCTGAGCAGGAGCGCACAGCATGAGCCGGTTAGAGGGTATTGGTGCCGGGTCTGTGAAACTTGCTACAAGACGAGAGAAGGCTACAATGATCATAACGGTGTTGTGAGGGATTCGACGGAAAAGTTTATGGAGGTGAGGAAGGGCAAGGTGGAGAGAAGGAGACTAGAGATTGCGAGGCTGGAGAAGAGGTTGACGAAGGTGCGTTGTGAAGCGAACTCTCTGGTTGGGCTTTTGGGTGAACGCTGTCATTCGGAGGATTGAAGGATCTTATGGTATTTTTCTAACGGCTAAGCAGTTAACCCAACTCCTGGTCAACCCGCCGCCACCAAATATAACATCCGCCATCTCGAACACTTCCCGCCCGCACCTCCAATCTACGACCTCCAACTTCCTCAAATCTGCACTCGCCTCCACTCGTCTTCCTAACCCCCTCCGAGACCACCGTAAATCTCTCGAACAATCCATCGTCGCCTGGGAAGACGACTCATCCGTCTCCTCATGTCCGGAATGCCTCCAATCCTTCCATCCTCTCACCCAGCGAAAACACCACTGTCGAATATGCGGCCGTATCGTCTGCGGCGATCCCAGGACCGGTTGCTCAACTGAACACACCTTTGACGTCGCCATTTCCGATTCCTCCTCTCCCCTCACCTCATCCGCCCTCACACCAACCCGAATACCCAACGGCGTCTCCCCCCCAACCTCCACCAGCGAGAAACCCCTCGTCACAACCGTCTCCATCCGTCTCTGCAAAACCTGCGCGACCACCCTCTTCGCCCACACTTCCTTCCTCTCCTCTCTCTCATCTCCCCCACTCATCGTCCGCTACTACGACACCCTCACCTCCTACCGCAACTCGCTCCAATCCCTCCTCCCCCGCTTCCAAACCCTCGTCACCGCCGCGCAATCCTCACCCACACCGGACAACATCAGCACCGCCGAGAAAGCAAAAAAACGGATCCTCGAAGCCCTCAGCAAAGTCGAGGAGATTGCGAAAAAGGTCAAAGACATGGAGGGGCTGGAAGGGGTGGGGATGATACTACCGAAAGCAGTGTCGTTGGCGGCGTTGGAGTGGGTGAGGAGTAGGGAAGTGGAGGTGAGGGTCGCGGTGGGAGTGCTGGAGAATGTGAAGAGAGAGCAGGCAGGGAAGGGGTTGAGGGCGAGGTTGAGGCCGAATGGAGCGGGGCATTCGAGACAGAGTTCGGTTATGTCGACGACGTCGGTTGCGAGTGCGCCGTCGCCGTTGAGGAATGGGGTGTTGAGTGCGGGGGATGGCGGGGTGAATGGTAAAATGGACAGGGAAAAGAGAGAGAAGGAGCTGGGGGAACAGATTGTGGTGTTTGAGGAACAAGCTTACATGTTGCAGGGCATGCTGGACGAGGCAAAGAAGATGCGGAGATGGGATGAGGTCAAGGTGTTATTCAAGAGTAGGGAGGAATTGGAGGGCGAGGTTGAAAGGGTTAGAAGTGAGTTGGAGGCGTTGGGTCGGTGATAGAGAATTGACATGGTACACGGTACAACATTGTGGCAAAAGGGAGGGCAAAAGAATGGACAGGTCACGCTGGGGATCGAACCCAGAATCTCTTGATTTCGAGGAGATGGAATCGTAGTCAAGCGCCTTGCCATTGGGCCACGCGACCATTGGATGGTGGGAGCCGGGATAGATGTGTTTTCAATAGATGGTGGTTTGGATAACGTGTACAATATTGGCATGGAGAAAGGGCATAGTGGAAGAAACAGCACTATGATGGATCAGTTGGCATTCAATCGTTCGAGAAAACAATTGGACGTAGCCTTCTGTGCTAGATTGATTCATCAGCATTTAGAATAGTGTTCAAGAGTTAATTCTTGCCTCTGAATTGTGTCCTCTATCCTCTGTGATTGTGTCCTTGACGTTGGGTGGTGGAACCGTGCCCCAGGGTCCTCATCACGTGAGCGTTGACTGAGCAACGAAACGAACGCGCCCCTCCAACAACTACTCGTGTCCAACTCGAATCCTCCGGCCCAGCGCCTTCCCATCCCGCCTCACATCCTACCACCTCCTCGTCCTCACTCACTATCCCAATTCTAATTACTAATCGACGAGCCACCTTTACCCTTACGAAACTTTCCCATCTCACGACCGTCATGACCGCCCTACCAGTCGTTAAGATTGACATCGATTACAACGCCCAACAAGGTCGGTCGCTTCCACAGATGGAATTGGGCTCAAGAGACACCAGCTAACCACACCGCATTCTCCAGAGGCTTTCGAAGACTTCCTGAAAACCTTCAAGACCATCACGGACGTCGAAATCCCTCGCGACGCGTTTTCAAACCTCCACATTGACGACGAAAATGTATTCGAAGAGACACCACGGCGACGAACCACCCGCAGCGGGCGCGGGGGGGCAACCCAGGGCGCCCCGAAACTAAAGTACTTGGAGCAGCTACAGCAGGTCGCAAACCGGGAGCGGGAGGCCGTAGTGATCGACCTGGCAGACTTGAAGGAGTATGAAGACACAAATGGTGGCGGGCTGAAGCTGGTCAAGTCGATTGAGGGCAACACGGCGCACTACCTTGAGGTTTTTGCCCGGGCTATCGATAAGGCTATGCCGGCAGAGAGTCTGAATACATCATACAACGACGATGTGTTGGATGTTATCCTCACGCAACGGCGGAACAGGAATGCGGTGACGGAAAGTCAGCAGGAGAATGGGGGAGACGCACCGGCGGCATTCTTCCCCGCTCTTCTGACTCGGAGGTATCAGGTTTACTTCAAGCCCCGCGATCCCAGCGCTGATGGCGGAAAGTCGCTCGCAGTACGCCAGGTTCGGGGTGAGCACCTTGGTCATCTTATTACTGTCCGTGGTATCGCTACTCGAGTCTCCGATGTCAAGCCTGCCGTCCTCGTCAATGCCTATACCTGCGACCGCTGCGGCAGTGAAATATTCCAAGAGATCAAGACCAAGACGTTTTCACCACTGGTCGAATGTCCTTCTGAAGAATGCCAGAAGAACCAGGCCAAAGGTCAACTATTCATGTCCACCCGCGCTTCCAAATTCCTCCCCTTCCAGGAGGTAAAAGTCCAAGAACTTGCTGAGCAAGTCCCGGTTGGACACATCCCGCGTACCCTCACCGTTCACCTCCACGGTTCCCTAACCCGTACCATCACCCCCGGCGATATCGTCGATATCGGGGGCATCTTCCTCCCCATCCCTTACACTGGCTTCCGTGCCATCCGCGCCGGCCTCCTCACAGATACCTATCTCGAAGGCCAATTCATCAACCAGCACAAGAAACAATACGACGACATTCGCATGGACGAAAAAACCTTCCACCGCATCAACTCCCTTCGGGCATCCGGCAATCTCTACGACCATCTCGCCAGATCCATCGCCCCGGAGATCTTTGGCCACCTCGACGTCAAAAAATGTCTCCTCCTCCTCCTCATCGGCGGTGTTACAAAGGAAATGGGAGACGGCATGAGAATCCGCGGTGACATCAACGTCTGCCTCATGGGCGACCCCGGTGTCGCCAAATCCCAGCTGCTCAAATACATTGCCAAAGTCGCGCCCCGGGGCGTCTACACCTCTGGCCGCGGCTCCTCCGGCGTCGGTCTCACCGCCGCCGTAATGCGGGATCCAGTAACGGACGAAATGGTTCTCGAAGGCGGTGCTCTCGTTCTCGCCGACAACGGCATCTGCTGCATCGACGAATTCGACAAAATGGACGACTCGGACCGGACCGCCATCCACGAGGTAATGGAGCAACAAACAATCTCCATCTCCAAAGCGGGAATCACAACATCCCTGAACGCGCGCACCTCTATTCTCGCCGCCGCTAATCCTCTCTACGGCCGCTACAACCCCAAAATCTCCCCAGTGGAGAACATCAACCTCCCCGCTGCACTGCTGTCGAGATTCGATATCCTGTACCTGATCCTGGACACCCCGAGTAGAGACTCGGATGAAGAGCTCGCGCGACATGTAACACACGTGCATATGGAGAATAAAGCCCCGGAAATGGATTTTGAGCCACTGTCGCCGAATGAGATGCGCCAGTATATCGCGCAGGCGAGGCAGAAGCGGCCGACTGTGCCGAAAGAGGTGGCGGATTATGTCGTGAATGCGTATGTAAGGCTGAGGCAGCAGGGGAAGAGGGAGGAGGGGGGGAAGAAGTAAGTTTCAAGTTCTCGCTTTTCTTTACGTTTGATGCTGATTGTTAGACAATTCGCCCACGTCTCCCCCCGCACGCTCCTCGGCGTCCTCCGTCTTGCGCAAGCCCTCGCCCGCCTCCGCTTCGCCGACACGGTCGTCATGGAAGACGTCGACGAAGCGCTCCGGCTCATCTCCGTCTCCAAGGCGTCTCTCCATGAATCCGATTCCAGTGCTCTCGGCGCCGATCTCACCGTCTCGTCCAAGATCTACCGCATCATCCGTGCGGCGGCAGGGAACCGTGGTGAGGTCGATATGCGCACGGTTAGAGAGAGGGTGTTGGCGAAGGGTTTCACGGAGGATAATTTGGTGAGGACGGTGGAGGAGTATGAGGGCTTGGATGTGTGGCAGGTGGCGGAGAATGGGAGTAGGTTGATGTTTATTGGGATGGAGGAGGAGGATGAGGATGTGGAGATGAGCTAGAGCGATGGGAGTAGGGCTGGGTGATGTGGAGGGTTGGATATCCGGGTATGGTGTTTGTGTTTATGGTATCGGAATTCCCTTTGTAGTTACGTTGGTTTTTGTTGTTACATGGGTTGAATGCACTGCCTTTGGTGTATCAAAATGGGGAGAGCTATGGAGGGATAGAGGCGGGATGAGAAGAAATCACCAGGACCCATGTCATTTGGCCCAAACGGGAAATCGACACCACAAAAGTCCAACTCATGCCCACATCCACCTCGGTATCTGTCAAGCCAGATACTCTTCATGACTCCCGTTCCTCAGGGAGCGTTACACTCCCACACCTGTATTGAACGATCAGCCAAAGAAAAAAAAAGTAAACTTGGTGCGGGCATGCGTAGCTGTCCACCACGTAGATCATTCGCCTCTAGTACTAACGTTAGTACTTAGTCTACTACCTCAATCCACCTTCTCCGCCCACTCCCCCTCAATTTCTCCCCGTCTCTCGTTATCAACATTGTCCCCCACCATGCGCGCCCCGCACCTCCGTCTCCTCCTCCGCCGCACCTACACCACCACTCCTCCCCCACCATCCCCCAAACCCCGCCGCCACCTCCTCCCCATCACCCTCACCCTCCTCACCGCCGGCGCCGGCACCTACTACTACACGACCATCACCACGCCCCAGAAACCCACGCACCTAAACCCCGACTTCTTCACCCGCTACACCCTCACCTCGCACACCCCCGTCTCCAGCCACCCAGCACAAACCGCCATCCTCACACTCACCACCACCACGCCAACCCCCGCCCCGCTCCCCGCCGACAAACTCCTCAGCATCGAGCTGAAACAACCCTCTCTCCAGATCGCACGACACTACACCCCACTCCCGGGGTCTGCCGACGATGCCACCACGCTGCGGCTGTTCATCAAGAAGGAACCCGGCGGGGAGATGAGTCGGTACCTTCTCTCGCTGCATGAAGGTGCAGATGTGTTTGTGCGGGGTCCGCACGAGGAGTGGGATCTCGAGGTCCGGAAGAAACGGGTGTTGTTTTTGGCGGGTGGCACGGGGATTGCGCCGGCGCTACAGGCGGCGGAGAAGGTGTGTGCGAGGGATCCGGAGGCGGAGGTGAGGGTGTTGTGGGGGGTGAGGGCGAGACCGGAGACGGAGGGGGAGATGGAGGGGGAGGTGGAGAGGCTGGGGGAGAGGTTTGGGGAGAGGGTTAGGGTCGAGGTGAGGGTGGATAGGGATGGGGGGATTGGGAGGGGGGAGGTGGAGGCGTTGGTGAGGGCTTGGGCGACCGCCGTGGGATTGAGTGGCCCGGATGGGTTTTTGGAGTTTTGGGCGGGGAGGAAGGAGTGGGCTGGGGGGGTGGAGACGCAGGGGAAGTTGGGGGGCGTGTTGGCGGAGGTGTTGAGGAGGAGAGAGGAGGAGGCGGTGAGAAGACAGAAGAAGTCTAAGGTTGTGGAGGAGTTGAAGGAAATTGAGGTGTGGAAGTTGTAAAATGTTACCATTTGGATCAATGCATACCCCTTCAGATGCCATTGGAATATACTCAAAATATTCATTGACATGATACTCATCTCTAGATGTCTCCTATATCACATTCAACATTCACCCCTCGGTATCAACACCCCCTCAAAACGCCCAACTCAAAATATCCGGCTCCTCAAACACCGCCACAGGCGGCTTCACCAACCCCTTCGGCATCTTCCACTCTCCCTCCGCCACATGGCCATCATCCGACACCTGCGCACTACTCCTCCTCCTCCTCCTCCCCAACCCATCATCCTCAATCAAGCTCTTCCTTTTCACCGTCCTCTCCTGCGGCATAAAGTGCCAATTCTTCACCAAACTCAGTGCCAGCAAATCGCAACCCATGCGGTCATACAATCTCGCCGTGTGCAGGACAACATTGAACTCGACATCCGGGGAGATTTTTTCTGCCCCCTTCAGCGTCTGGAGTGTTTTCTCACGTATCGTGCGGTAGAATATCGTGAGGGCTGGATCATCGAGGAGGAAGAATCTCGCGGTTAGATCA